TGAGCCTGGAAGAAGTGGTCCTTGAATACTTACCAACTCTCTTGGGCCCCTAAACAACTAATTGTGCCTAAACAATTTATTGTACTTTATTTTTCCCAAATAATCTTATATATGTTTGTAGCAGTTTTTCCTCAGTGTGAAGAAAACAGAGGGGATGAAAGGTGCAATACATATAGTGCAACAAGATGCAACTTCTTGCTGGGAATTCAACATATTTAGACATAGAGAATTAAAGAATCTGCTACCTGTAGGTTTATCTACAGCTAGTGAAAATACACAAAAACAAAAAAAGGAATTATAGATAAGAAACTAAATGTACCCTCGTGTTAGGTATTTGGTAAGGCAGAATTATGCATAATTGACAAGGAAAAATAAAATAAAATAAAGTTCCCTTGCAACTGCCAACAAATTTTGTTAACATCCTTCACTCAAGAAACTATCAGCATTTACACGTATAATCTTCATGAAAGTCTTCTGAATGTAACAACAGTAACTGATATCAGCAAAGGAAGATAAGTAGAAGAATGGTGTTAAAGTAAGGGGAGCAGGAGGATTAAGAAGCTGTTGCTGAATTATTTCCCCCTCTCAAGTAATAAAACAACGTTCATCTTTCAAAAGCACCACAATCTGAATTTTATGTGAAAAGGGGAGAACATGCAATTCTTGGTCTGTGTAGGAAAGAGTTTCCCCCTTTTATATATCGGTTATTTAGTGGAAAGCCTCTTTGAGGATACCAGCATTTATTCCTGCTCCAAACAGGTGCTGTACCTGCTACACCTACTGCTGCTCATGCTGCTGCATGTGCAGGGTTCTAACAAAAATGAGACAGTGTGAGGGTGATTCACAGTAATAACAGAATGAGAAACTATTCAGGCAAATGATTTTAGCCCACAAACATAGCAGAGGGGAATACTGCAGCCTTTCAGTACTTAAAGAGGGCCTATAAGAAAGGTGGGGACAATCATTTTAGTAGGGTCTCTTGCGACAGGACAAGGCGGAATAGTTTTAAACTAAAAGAGGGTACGTTCAGACTAGATATAAGGAAGAAATTTTTTACAGTGAGTGCTGAAGCACTGGAACAGGTTGCCCAGAGAGGTGGTGGATGCCGCATCCCTGGAGACATTCAAGGTCAGGTTGGATGGGTCTTTGGGCAACCTGATCCAGTTAAAGATGTCCCTGCTCACTGCAGAGGGTTGGACTATGGGACCTTTCAAGGACCCTTCCATTCCACAACATTTGGTGATTCTACTATACTTGAAAATTCACTGTAGAAACCTCTATTGCAAAGGCAAATGAAAGATTATGTGCTTTAAAAAGAAAACAAAACACAAAACCAGGATATTTCAGATGACAGAACCTGAGCCCTTGTGCGTCATGTCTTGAATACTGCATAATTCTCATCCCTCATCTCTAACAGGAGACACTAGAATTTGAAAGATATATGAAAAGCTAAGAATAATAACTAAGTGCAATATTTTTCTTTTTATAATCGTTAAGTGTACCTAAGTGTAAAGTCTCTAAAGCACTGACCTACTTGCCTTTTCATTTTAAAATAGTGACATAAATATACATTCATTAATTTATATATCTGTTAAAGTACCAGGAATTTTCACCTACGCTAGAAGCTAACATTATTTAGACTGTTTGGATTCTCTTGCATGCTGTTTCGATACAGTGTGACTTCAAGATTAGAAACAACCTCTGAAGTGACAAAATAACAACAGCAAAAATAAAAACAATAATAATAACATCATAGCTATGATGACCAAAATTGATTTCTTTACATGTGTTTTCAATGCAAACCAAAGCAAAAAATAAATACCTGGTGTCCAGCCATTATTTGCTTCAGCACATTTTCATAACATACTTCATCCATATGATTCAGCTGCTGCACCTGAAAAACAAACATCATACTTCATATTAAAAGCATTTCTATCTTTAAGTGTTCTCTATTATATATAACAATGAAAGAAAAAAATGTGATTATACAATTAAATTTACAACATACTGGTTTCTATTCCTAACAACATATGGTATCTGGTATTCTTAAATTCATAAACAGAACATGAAAATATGTAGACAAAACATGAATACAGGCAGTGTACAGAATATTTATTATATGACCTTGTTGGGTCTTTTTTATGACCAAAGAGGCATGACCAAGTTGTTTTCTTTAACTGTTTCACATTAAGGAATCTTACTTCCCAGGATATTGATGAAATACCCATTTAACACATCATCTCACCTAACATCAGGTTCTTTTACCTGGTAATATAAAAATAATTTTTATATTGTAGATATACATATCCAGGAAATTACTGGTTGTTAGCTTCCTTGCTACAGAGAAAAGAAATTTCATCATAATGGTATCATGCACAAGGAAGAGTGGTATTACCATGTACACAGTTTTCAATTATGGATAAACAAAATGTTTCAGGAAGGTTCCAAAACAAAGAGTTCAGTTGAAAGGTATTCTTCAAGATTTTTTCTTCTATTTCTTTAATGCACCACAATATAATTAGCATGTATCTATTTGAATACACCTCAGTATTAAGGTTGTAACAAACCAAAACAAATGAAGTTCAAAATCAGAGCAATCATTCTATTCTTCATTTGTACATTTATGTTGGTATAACTAACTTTTTTTTTAGCACAAAAAATGCTTTATAAAAGCAAAGCATGTAACAATTCAAACTCAGGAATTTAGTATTTGCAGTTATCTAGATTAGTTGAAAGTAAAAAATTGCAGCTTTAAAACAGCTTCAGAGAGAAGAAGAGAACATTCATATTTGGAATTGTACAAGCCTAGTAAGGAAAAGATGAGACACTATAGATGTGTTTGTAAGAGACAAGTAGCCAGTCTAATTATTTTGAAAATGAGAAGCTAGCATTTCAATTAATTATTCTTTCAAATAAAAACAAGTGCAAATTATATAGGCAGTGCATAAATACACAGGGACATAAATACGTATTAATACATACAAAGGTAACTTTATGTATTCTTTGCATTTAAACCTGAAGAAGAAAACATAAACTTGTATAGAGAAAAATAACTGACATGAAAGAAAAATTTTTTACATTAAAAGACCTCTGACTGAAGAAACCAAACTTTAGTCTTGGTCCCATATGCTCTAAAGGTTTTGACGTACGGAGTTTGAAGAGCTTTTCTGGCTAACTTCTATGCATAATAAATACACCATGCTGTTCTCGCCTTTGAAATCTTGCCTACAGTTTGCATATGACTCTGCAAATCACTAATCAGTTCCAATTTTTTTTGGATGAAGGATGTCAGAAAGTTGTGGCCAAGCCTCTACCTAAAGTAACTAACAGCCTTCTATTTTCTCCTACTCACTAGTAGGATATAAACGTAGCACTGGTGTTCTGCAAGAAATGCTTTTGATTCTGTTCTTACGTTACTTTCCTCCTCTCACATAGATCAGAAGGTTGTTGATATTCATAGAATCATAGAATGGCCTAGGTTGGAAAGGACCTTGGAGACAATCTAACCCAAGCTCCCTCAACTAGATCCACCTCTCAACTAGATCAGGCTACTCAAGGCCTCATCCAACGTGGCCTTGAACACCTCGAGGAAGGGGGCATCCACAACTTCTCTGGACTATTTATTCCAGAGTCTTGCCACTCTCATACTGAAGAATTATTGGCAATAATAAGGAGGCTTTAGTACCAGTATTATCGTGAATAGAATACTTTAAATCTGCAATGACATTCTTCTAAAAAGCAAAGAGAAAAAAATCTTGCTGTGTACCAGAACAGTCTACCAGGTACTTACATTTCAGAATGACAACTATCTCCTAATATTTCCTCAACTTGAAATTTATAGGATTATTTGTATATTTCTTTGATTTTTAAATCATAAATGCATTCTAAACTGAGTATGAAGAAATGGAGACTTTCCTTTCCTCTTACCATACAGTGGAAACAAACTAAATATTCTAATCAAGTGTCAAGATTAAAGAAATGCAACAGCAAATAAGAGGGAAGGTACTTGAAACAATTAATGAAGGTTAAAATATGCAAATCATGGTAAGCACCATATGGTAAACTATTCTTGTGTGTATATAGAGTTGAAATGGCTCCCTACAGTTGCAAAAGTTTCTTTCCTGCACTGCAGATGGAATGAACTACTTAAATAACCTAGTAAGAAAGGCAAGAAAGAAAAAAAAAGCTATTATTAAGCTATGAAATTAACTTCTGATTGAAAATGTTTTGACTTCTGTTAAATTAAATCATAGCAGAACAAGATTTTCTAAAAGTTATATAAACTTTAATTATCAGCTAATGAGATGAGTAGGAAATCTTACAGAAAAGTGTTTGTATTAATTCCTGTATTTAAGGAAGAATTATGAGTTATATGTCAAGTGGCACTGCACATATGATTTTTTAACACAATATTTTACCTGACCATGGTCTTCCTGCTTCCCAACATGAACAAGAGGACATAGAGTACAGAAGCTTATTTAGGGACTACTTCAATGCATTTTCCACCCAATGTAAACATATGTTAGTTAATGGCTTAGCACCCTGTTTTCACCAATAACTTATATCCTACCAGTATCAATGCATGTTGTGTTAGCGTATATATCAATATGTCCAGATTATATAAATTACTATTTTTCTTATAATGCTCATGCAGTCTTACAAATAGCACTGCTATTTCTAGTAAAACAGAAAACTGAAATGAGAGAAGCAGACTAAGCAGACTAGTCAGCTGCTACAGTGACTCTGTAGTTAGTAGCAAAGCGGAGGAAATGCAAAGCTAGATACCATTGTATCCAGTTGCAACAAGGCTTATTTACAAGGATTGGAAAATGAAGAAATATGATTCTTAAAGCACCTTTTGATTATGTGTATCTTCACGCAGAAGAAAATATGCTTAATGAAATACCTGTAGAATAAAAAACCAGTACACACTACATATCCATATACGAAGCAGTATCAAAACAAACAGCAACCTTTTCTTTGGCATTCATGATTCCTTACCTTATTGGTTGTCTTAATCCCTATAAAGGTTTGCCCCAGCGGTACGGGTCGGAAACGGCCATCGAAGTAGAATAGTCCAATGTAGGGATTGACGTGCAGAAATGTAGCAACATCAAGATAATTAGGTAATGTAGCTGAAAGGCCCAAAATCCTAATCATACTTTGTGTTGATTCAACCTGTTAAAAAATAGAAAATCTATAAATGATCCAAGGCTTATAAAGCAAGAAATCAAACACAGAGTTTTAGAACATCCCTTATAAAACTGTAATGTGAAAGAAGTGGTTAATATTTTCTACAAAAGGTGTACAATAGATGTGAGTTAGTGATTATCCTGTATTGAGAGACTACACAAAAACGCAATTCCATCAAACCTTGCTCATGCATCTATTTTATTTTACTTCTGCCCTCCAAAAGGTTAGCAGTCATTAATTGACATGGAGGAACAACAGTAGTAAAATTAGCTTTGTTAAGAAGGGATAGTCCAATTTGTTGGGAAAACTAGGACAGATAATTTGGTGTAATTTCTTCCTTAGTCCAAATCAACCTAGAATTCTGAAAAAAAGGAAAAGTATAATCTGTGACATTCCTCAGTCTTGACCTTTCCACAAGTCTCCTAGACAATCTATTCTGTAACAGACAGACTTTTTTTTTTTTGCGAATTCCCTACATGTTTGCATTACATGCCTCTGCATGACAGAAATAGTGCTTTAAAACTAAATACTCTGTTCCACATAACAGCCTGCATATTACATGTATTTCTAGGTAATTTTCAAAAACAATGAAAGCAGCCATTAAGAGAGGAATAAGGAAACAACACAAGAATTTTCCCATTTCCTTCTGGAATATTAAGAGGTGTATAGGCTTGCTCACAACTTTCTTACTAGCATTAGTATTTATAAACAAAATTCACAGCAATATTCATCAAAAGGCTTTTTAAACACTGTAACTGAAGACATATGCAAGGTTCTCAAATTGTCTCAAATGCATGAATGTCTGTCTCATGGGGAGTAAGACTGGTAACTTTTATCTGGCTAAATTCTGTTTAAAACGATATGAGGTTTTACTTGAGATATAGATTTTGAGTTAAAAGTCAAAGGAAATGCTGTGTAATTGAAATAGATGAATTACAAGCGGGTGATTTTCTTCCTTGTTCATTTGGAGTTTTTTTGGCTTTGTCTGGGTTCCCTGGGGCACCACCTCCTCCCGCACTGCCCTTGGTGTCTGCAGGATATTCTCACCTACTTTTTTCCTCACTCCTGTCTCTCTAAACTGCTGCACTGTGGTTTTACCCTGGCCTGAAGGTGTTTTCCCTGAGTCACTGTCACCTTGTCCAAGGGTCCCAGTCATGCCCTGCAGGGGGTCGGCTGGAGCCGGCTGAAACCAGCTGTGTCCGGCCCAGGGCTGCCCCGGCCACTCCTCACAGGGGCCTCCCTGCTGCCCCTGGGGCACCTGTACCTGGTACAGGTTTAATTTTTATACACTTAATATTTGTACCTTTTTTTAAAAAGCACACTTGAGTGTGTAAGAACAGTAACCACTGGCTGATATATTTATCCTGTTCTTTGTTCACCAACACTTGATAATAAGTACAACAATCTGGAGGTGTAACTGAGCTTCAGCCTGGAAAACATTATTGAATTTTGCTAAATTCAATAATAATTTTTTTTCAAATCCCCTAAGAGCCTGAAATCACTGGTTTGAAAGCACGTTCAGTTCCATTCCAAGGTAGGAAAGCATTTCAAGTATTTAAACAATTAACAAGAACTCTGCTTAATAACCGTGGAAGTATGATTTTTTAAAAGCATTTAACTGTAAGCTGTTTGTTCAGAGTTTTCTTTCAAGACATAAAAAATGCCTAGAGAACAGTTACAGCTTACCGAGATTTGTCACTCTCAAAACCTTTGTATAAAAGAAGCCTTTTAATTCCACTGATCTGGCAGTCGGCCCTGAAGTTAAGGAGTAGGTTGAAAACCCTGAATTACGATTCCACATGAAAAACGCAGCAGAGAGTTAACTCGAGCAACTATAATTACTAATATGTATAGCATATTTTAAAACAAAATACACCTTTGCATACATATACTTGTGCATATGTATATAGTACCTACACAATTTTTTCAATTTATAAATTTAAAGTTTGCAAATTAATTGGACTATTAGTTTTGTATTTATATCAAGGAAAAAAATCAAGTCAGAGTGCTACAAGAAATCAGGTAATCAGCAACCTTTTGCTCTATCATTTGTGTCTTCACACTTAAAAGAAGACTATTAAGACTCTAAATCATTCCATCAATTTCCTTCTTTCAAGGCCACCTAAAAAAAAAATCTTTCTTCTTTTATATCCACTTAGCAACACAAAATATCAATAATTAATATATATCTCAAAATAATCAAGAAGCAAAAAAGCTGTATTTACCCTAAAAGACCAATGTATCATAACAATTCTCCCAATTATTTTTCACTTACACTAAATTCAACCTGTAACCTAAAACCTTATCTATCTGCACATCATCACATACATATGCAGAATGTTTTGTTTATTCTTTTAATTATACATGGCAATATACAAACAGTGGGGACTAAACCAGTGCTGAACTTAGAAGTCAGAAGAACAAAATTACCTGAATATGCAACTGTAACACATCATTTATTTTTGCATTTTATCTGTGATTATAACTCAGTTTCAATTATTTATCTATTATTCCTCTATCTTAGCACTATAGAGACTTTATTTTTCATAATGGCTTTTAGAATTCTAATGTATTTTTAGAAAAGAGTTCTCTGCATGCATTTTTCAACTACTCTTCTGACTTTACCTTGAAGAGCAAGCATTATTATGCTTTGCTCTCAGATGTTTCTAAAGAAAAGTTAAGTCTTGAAAGTGCATAGATGCCCCTAGTAAATACGGTCCATTCAAACATTAATACTTTTCATATGTTGGATCATTTATTATTTGGTCCTAGAAGTCCCAATCAGAGATTATACCTTCATATACATGACACCATGAACACACAGTCTTCTCCTGAAACTGCAGTAAAAATTCCTGAAACGACATTTTGGATGACAAAGTTCTCTGTTTATATTCCCTAGCACTGGCTGGCTGTAAGCAGCTAAGTGCACTTTCTTCACTACTGGCACATAATTTCAAACATGTTAATCTTCATATGTGTTTAATTAACTCAGTAAAAATATAAGCACCATTTGGAACTTACAAGGCTTTCTTTGGAACACTGAACTGTCACAGTATTTGCACATCATGTTCTTTGAAAGCTTTACTGTATTTTACTGATTTGATGTTACACTGCAAGTAGGAAATAAAATTGCCAGAACTACATTTAATTGACATGTCTAATTAGTATATCTGATTCAGAAGCATTCATGATGGCATGTGGAGAATTGGCAGCATGTTCACCATACACGTTCGCAGAACACAATTATCATACCATGAAATTCCATGTATACAGAAAAAATAAACAGACGATAGCTATCCCAGACCAATTTCCACACTCAAGCATCATCTGCATTTACACTGTAAATGGTAAAGGATCGGGTATAGGAAGTGCCTCTCTGGGTTGTAAATTGATCACAGCACGATCATTTTCTTCCTAATACATTTTAAGATTTGCATATCATCTCATTACATTACAGCTGCCACTTGAGAGCATACAGAGTGTGCATATAGATACTCTTTTATCTGACTTCTAAAATTCTCCCTGAACTTTGTGATCTTGGCAGTCTTCCCATTTCCATGTATTAAAATATCACATTCACAGAATGAATAATAATCAAGCTAGAAAGTATATCCCTGACTGTTCAACTCAAGCACAAAATTAAGTGAAGCAGACGAGTTTATACAATGTAATCTTTGAAGAATTGCCCACTAGTTAGAAATCCATCTGGTATTCAGATGACCCAGGATCAATTCAACACACCCTCTACAGTCAGTCTGTGTGCCCTTCAGATACACACTAAAGACAAGGTACACAGAAAATTAGACACAAGCGTTTTAGTTTTGAGTCTAGATGTGCCAGAAGATGAATTCTTAACACAGGTTCCTGAGTTCCCTGCTCAACAGCAATAAGAACGAAGCATTGCATATGGGGATTCACATTAGCACTTAGATATCCCCCTACTCAAAGAATGGCTCAAAGTGTCAAGCCTGTCACAAGATCTATGTTTCTCCCACTATCCAAAAAAAAAAAAAAGGGAGAAAAAGGGGAAAAAAAAGGGAGGAATTCTTGAAATATAATAAGAAAAAAATTAAGTGTTCCAAAATGAAGTTTGTTAGAATGTTTCACCAGTGTTTACTTGTTTATTGATATCTTGTTTACTGTCTAATGAAAGAATTAAGAAGTTAGTCAATTCACATAAGTGGCAATTTCTCAGTTTTAGGAACAAAAATGGAAAACCCAGTAAAATAGCAAAATCAAAAGTATGTAGTAAAAATGCAATTACTAATACTGTTTTGAAGATTCTACATAGGATGTTATCTACAACTCAAATACTCTGCACTGAATGCATTTGTTACTAGGCAACCACCTAGTTAAGTAATTTTATAAATGAGTTTTACTCTGCTTCCAATGAACCCTGAAAATACTGTGATCTCAGTCTTCCATTTAGAACATATTTAAAAATCTAGAGGACTGAAAAAACGTAACCGTGCAGAAAGCACTATTAGAAGCCATATTATTTTTCCTCAGCTAAGTATGCAGTACTTTGCCTTAAGAAATGACATTGTGAATACACCTATAAAGAGACTTCTATGTCCTGCACAGTGCCATATCAGTTTTTCTTGAATGACAGAAAGCCTTTTCGCGATGCTGTGCTTACTTTGTTCCCAAACTAAGAAACAGAGCAAAATATGAACCCTTCTGCGAACCAGCTTAACTGCTTTACCAACATAAAACATATGATAATCTCTATTACTTTTAAACTCCATGGACATATCACAGAAATGGAAAACATGTTCACATACCAATAGTTAAAAATGACATGCAGAATGACTTCTTGACATCACTTCCATACAAAGTAATAGTAGAGCTTCTGAAGATTAATTCAAATATCTGATACATAACATTTTCCAAACAAGTGGAGAATAGGTTTTGTTTTAAAAAGTTATTTTGTTGTCAAAAAGTCATTTTTACACAGTTGCAGAGTTGCCAGAACAGATAATAAG